AAGGAGCTGAATGCCATGATTCACAATCTGAAAGAAACCCCATGTCTCTGATGCTTCTTTCACTCTCTCAACAACCCTTCTGCGTTCACTATGATCTTCATGAATCCTTGCAAGATCTACAATAGGAATAGCATAATCTTTATGGCCTAAATCAGAGGCCCTGTTGAAGGTATCGGGTGGATGATAGAATATGCGAGGGATCTTGGTAATCCCTGCATCAACAAGTCCTTTCACCCCAAGTTTTGTCTCATCAAATGCTTTCAGCTCCTTTTCTCTTTCTGATTCAACCATGAAATTCTCTTCCTTCTTACTTACACTATTGACCTCCATTAATGGTCTTAAACTTCTATACAAAATATTGTACTGAAACCACACAAAAATACAAAATCAGTGAGTGAAAGATCTAAAGAAGCGTTGACTTCTTAAGAAAGTGGACTGAAGATAACGTCCAGTTTGAAAGAATTAATCGATATTTAGGGTAGTATAATAACATGTGTAAATAACCTGATAAGTCTAACAATGTTGTTAGAATAGAGTATAATATCATCTTCAATAATGAATTGGGCTTAACTCAACTCAACAAAACCTATGAAAATAAGAATTGTTCTCACTTATATTCCCTAATTTAATCATACTACTACTCTATCTTGATTCCCAACATGTCTTAAACAGAAGGTGAAGTTATACAAGAAACTATAAGAATGGAAGTGTTGACTTACCGATGCAGAACAAAGGTTAAGCTTAAAGTCTTAAACAAATGCATGCTTGTACGAGAAGAGAATTAAATACTGTCAGAGACACACATAAAGAAACAAAGACAGAACCATCAACCAATGACCATGTTGATCACTAGCGGATTCTACGATGCATATGCTTTCTGGACTATATGAAATTGATTATTATTTTTCAATTGAGGACCACTTGCATGTACTATTATTAATTTTTATAGAGACTTTTTATTTTTTTATTACAAAAAATAAATATGTACAATAATATCACAAGTTGTATAATATTTACCAAATTAGTACATTTTACTATGCTTTTAAGAACTCCCTTCTCCCCAATCCCGATTTTCCAAAGGAAACTTTTTTTATAATATGTGCCGATCAAAAAATAGGGTTGATCACCCGAATTTCTTAGAGCAATTTTTTTATTTATTTCAGTTTTAAATTTAAATTTTTAAAGATTAATTTAATTTGTAAAAATAATTAAATAATTAATGAATAAGAAAATAATTTATAATTAAATTTTTTATTTTTTAGAATTGAAGGATTATATTTTGAAAAAATAATCTGATTAATAAATTTAAAAATAATTTTTTGTCAAAATTAATTTAATTTAGCTTATGGTGATAATCAGTAATTAAAAATTAATATGATTTATCTAGTTAAAAATAGTTTTTTAAAATTAATTTAATTACTTTAATAAAGATTGTGATAATAATTAAGTAAATGATAATTAATTGATAAGCTTTTAATAATTATCTCCATAATTAACTTAATTATTTATGATCTAATAATGTTAATTAAATTGAAAAATGATGACAAATCTTATTCGATTAAAATTATATGAAAAAATAAGTCATCAATATGGGTTAGTACATTAATATTGTAACGTAGTAAGTTGTTTCAGAAGGCCCAAAAGTCCAATATGAATGATTTAGTAGCCAGAACGGGCCGTTCCCAATCTAGAACGGGCCGTTCCGAACTACTAAATTGACCTGTAAATCGTAGTTGAGAACGGGATGTTCTGGAGGGAGTACGGGCCGTTCTGGATGGAGAACGGGCCATTCTGGATGAATCCCAGAACGAGCCGTTCTGGTTTCAGAACGAGTCGTTCTGCATGTGATTTTTGTACGTGATGAAGGGGTGCAGAACGGGTCATTTCGGATTCGGAATAGGCCGTTCTGGCCACTCCTGAACTTCTATAATAGGGGTTGTGTGGTTGAGGAGAAAGTGAAGTTTTTAGAGAGAAGTTTTAGAGAGAAGAACTCTGGGTCTGTGAGCTCCTTTCTCTCCCAAATTTCTCTATATGATTCCTTTTCTCCTCTAGATCACTAATGCCTTCTGTCTTTTCTTGAAATTCAGATTAGGAAGCTTGCTTTGGGAGGATTGAAGTTTCGGGTTGAGCTTCGGAAGAGAATTCTACTTCTTCTCAGTTATTGGCTATTTTGAGCCAATCTTTAGGTGAGAGAAGCTAGAATGTTTTTTGTTTAAGTTGTATGTGAGTTTAGAAACTCAATTGATGCATGAAAGCTGAGGATCCATGGCTGGATCGAAGAATTCGCTCCTTTTTTTGGGTTTTGGGAGAAATGGGGTTTTTGGTGAATTTGATGCATCAGATGGGTGCACGTTGATTTTGAGTTTGTTTTGTGTTGTATGGAGCCTATGCATTGTGTTTTTGTGTTTGCATGTGGTTGGATTTGTTAGTTTGGATGAGAGTTTTTGAACTCTCTGACTGGGATTAGGCTAGGCGTAGGTTGAGCGCGCCAGGCGTTAGGGCTCTCGGGTTGGATGTTGGGCCAGACGTGATTTGGTTGCGTCAAGCATGGAGACTCTTAGGAGTCTCTATCTCAAGGACACCGATCGTGAGTTGAACGCGCCGGACGTGGATGAGTTTTAGGACTCTCAGGTTGAGATTAGGCTGGGCGAGCTCAGGCTGCGCCAGGGGTGAATATGTTTATGAATGAAATGATGCTAATGCATGTTAAGTTAAAGTTTTGGATCATGTATGTATGATATATGATGTATGGTGAAGTGTGATTCATATGTATGCATAGTGATGATATATATGAATGTTTAAATATGATATGGCATGAGTATATGTTCATATGTGTATGATTATTGATCATAATGGTGGGTAGACCATGTATGATGTATGATGCATAATTGCATGTGATGCCTTATGGCATGAGTCTAGCCTAGGACTTGAGGAGAGGAAAAATACTTTCGAACTGGAAGAGCTCACATAGAGTCTCTTGAGAGTGGTGTTTGGATAGGCTACTGATATATGAGAGTAGTGCTCAGGTAGGCCACAGGGTTGGGTGTGTCTCCTCTAAGTCCTTAGTTAGTGTTGGAGCGAGGTATGAGGTCGAGGGTTATTCCCTTAACCAAGTACTCGGGAAGGTGCGTGGATCCTTGCGGATAGTCGGTGGGCGAACTCCACAATTGACTTGGTTATGCATGCCAAGGTCGTGGTAAGCACGTACCCAGCTATGCTATACCTGATGGTGGATCTGGACTTTTAATTGTGTAAACATCATCCGAGTAAACCCGAGTGAGGATTATATCCTATTTAGCTGTGATCGAGCGGGCGCATTGGGCGTGAAAACAGTTGGGATGGTTTCGGTAGGATGGGATGTCACTTATACAGCTTTGTTGTTAGGGAGATCTCCTAGGTGTATGTGTGACGACGCATTAGATGATTGATATACATTGATATCTGTCATGAGATGCATTTATTGCATGATTATTAATATGATGAAGTGTGGTGTTTGACTTAATGATTGGTGGATTGTATTTTATGCATGAGTAGTATTGGATAGAGTGTGTGTGGTGTGACTCTATGAATATGATTGATAGTTGGATGATTGTGTAGTATAGATTATTGTTTTATACTTTATGATTGATTTTTGAACTCTAACTTACCCTTCTGTTTCCATGTGAATGGACTGCGATGATCATACCTTGTATGGGAGCAGGTCAGGGCTAGCTTGGAGTTGAGGTGACCGCTGCGAGACGGAGAGTTTGATCCTTGTGTTAGAGTTACCATTTTGGGTAACGATTTTGTCTGTGCTTGACCGGCACTAGGGAATATTATTTTTGGGATGACTGTACATATATGGCGTTCTATTTTATAACCAGAAACTTAGTTATTTTTATTCTTATCTATACCTGTATGTATGAGTTATCCAACTTAATATTTCTCTTAGTTCACTAGTAGTAGTGTGATTCCACTAAGTATAGAGACCATGGCGAGTCGTTACATATATTAAGTACAAGTTTTTGATAGTTGTATTTGTAACCATATTTCACATTTTATTTTTGCCTCTATCTCTTTAGGATATGTAATGTGGAGCCTAACTTCAACTACCACTACTATAGTCTTTGAAATCAATATGATGAGGCACCGATTGGATTGATGACATCTTTAGGAAAAAAAGGACTTGCATGGGATGAAGGAAAATGACGGGGACACATGACCACCAATCTTGTAGAGTCTATCAATTCAGTACTTAAGAAGACAAGAAATTTTCCTATTTCTACATTAGTCACAACAACTAAGTAATAGATTTTTTATCAAACTTTTTAACAATGCAAAGAACATCTTAAACAAGTATAACTTAAATGTGACTTTGTCTTAGCATGTTGTTCATCATAAAATTAAGAGTATTTTTCTATAATTATTAAATAGTGTTTGGAAACAATTCAAATTTCCAAATTCAAATCTTTGAGATATTATTTAGATTTTAAAGATATTGATTTTTTTATGATATTGTTTAGAATTAAAATATATTGTATTTATTTTAGAGACTTGTTTTCTCTTTTAAGATTATGATGCAATGTCAATAAATAGAGACTTATGAGATGAGAAGAATCACTCGACCTGTAAAAGGGGTTACCACCTTAAATGAGAGATGAGATCATATGAAGGAGGATTTCTAAGTTTTTCCAGAAAATTTATAAATGAGTTTTTTTAAGTTTCATCATAAAACTTGTGAGGGAGGGATTTCCAAGTTTTACCTATAAAACTTATGAGGAAAGGATTTTCAAGTTTCACCCATAAAACTTGTGAATAAGTGATTTTCAAGTTTTACCCACAAAACTTGTGTGTGTGTGTGTAAAAGAAAAGGAAAAGAAGATTTTTTTGTTCCCAACAAATAGCTTATTTTGTAACTAGATAAAATTTATTTTTGATTTACATGCTAGACAAAAAATTGTAGATCTTTCACAAAGGTTTTGAGTAATGTAAATAATACCTCAAACAAATAAATATAGTTCAAAATATGACATTATATTTTCATGTTATTCAACAAATAAAAAATTCAAAATTTCTCTCATTAATCTTTCATTTTCTTCTATATTTTTCATTTACTTAGATAATAGTGTCCACACATCTCATTTATATATACCATTTTATTATTTTTACCTTTTCAGAATAAAAATGTTTAAGAATACTTATTTAAAAACAATTTTACATCATAACTTTTTAAAATAAAAATATTTAAAATATACTTATTTTTTAGTTTTATTTTATTTTTTATTTTCATTTTAAATTTATATTTTAACAAAAAATCTATAAATATTTAAGTATGTATAATTTGTGGATATCTACTTAATAAATAAATGTACAAAATCAATAGACATGAAGAGACTATTACCTATACCACTATGTGCCATTATCATTTACATATGTCAACTGAAAATCATTATTTTAGCATATAATAAATAAATTAAGACTTAAATATGATTTTTTTCCCATAATATAGCATTTTTTAAATTTTTGTCTCTAATTTATTTTTTATATAATATATATTTTAAAATTATTTCTTTTAAAAAATATATGTTACAAAATTAATTTTTTTTAGAATAAACATGTTTTAAAATTACTTATTTTTAGTTTTAGTGTTATTTTTATATTTTTATTTAAAATTTTAATTTTAACAAAATATCTATAAATATATGAGTATGTATGTGAATTTTTTGGATATCTATTTATTAGATACATGTATAAATTTGGATAGGTATAAGTGTAACAACATGATTTTCATATACTGCAAGTAGGGATGCTAATGAAGTGGGACACGTGTGGTATAATAGTACTACGCTACTCGACCAATTGAATAAATATTTGTCTCATAGTTGCCTCCATATTCATGCCTTCACCTACATTCACTACCTCCACCAACTATTCACTTTATACACTTAAAAGAGGATAAATCTAGAAGCATTTGGCCCCCTCCTTTATCAACACCTTAGCTTGTCTAAAAGAATTCAAACCATCTATACCCTCACCAGTGAAAATCAATTCATCTCCAAAATTACATCCAACCCCACCAAAGACAAACAAATAAGGTTCACCTTATAACATTGCCTAAATACCTCAATCGAGCAATCCAAACAACATTCAGATGTTACATAAAAGTGGAAGTAAGAGTAGACACAACCAAGTTTACATTCAAAAACTCTACAACTAACTTCAGCTTCTATACATAATCAACAAAAATAAAGAAGTGTGTAGCACCCAAGTCAAATAGAATAGAAACATCTTTACCAAACACCTTGCCCTTCCCCTCCACTAAGTTTGATGAAGTGGAAGCTTCAACACCCATTAAGGCGAAAACTTGGCCTACATCGTCTACTCCACCTTCAATGCACTCCTAGTTTGAAGAGTCCTTTCAAAATAATCATTGGCTAAATGCCCAAGCTTGTTGCATTGCAAACACTTAGAAGTAGCAGTGGTGCAATCTCACACAATGTGAGGGCCTCCACATCTATAACACCTCACACTCTCAGTTCCTCCTCTAAGGTCATCAAAAGGTTTCCTTGTGATAGAACCCCCTTGGTGAAACTAAGGCCTATCATAAGGCTTCCTCTGACCACCTTTCTTAGACCCAATTGTCCCCTCAACAGTCTTTACAACTCTACTACCTCCCTCAAGTTTCTTCATTGCCTTTACCTTTGCCTTCTCCATTAAAGTTGGAAATTCGATGATGGTCATCGATACCACCACTCTTTTTGAGTCATACTTCAATTCCTTAGTGAATTTCCTACACTCCCAAGCCGTAGAAATAGCTTGAGTGTAGGAACGAGCCAAATGCTCAAACCTCATGGCATACTTAGAGACTAACAAGCTCCCCTATTGCAACCTCATAAATTTAACTTCCTTGGTATGCCTCATACTCTCCAAAAAATACTTTTCAAGGAATAACCTCTTAAAGCATTCCCAATCAAAAGAACAATAGGTCCTCCCCCACAAAGTGTCCCTAAAAGACTTAATCAGATTTGATACCACAAAAGTGTAATAACTTAACATGTCCCTACACTCACTTTAGTATAGCTATTACGCAATGAGGGAAAATAAAACAATGAGTTGCCTAAGATTATCATGCACGTTGATATATGCATAAAGTAGGATATGTAAAAGCATAGCCTATACACATATACAATCTACATACAAAATATACAAAAATTATATAAATAACCCTACTCTCCGGTCAAGTGACTATACAATGTCTTAACCATGCTTAACTTGAAGGCACCCAATGCAATCTTAGTTTTACACTTATGCAAAACCCAATTTTGGACTATTCCACATGAAATTCAGCAACTTCCTAACATACATTACACAAAATAAAATTATACAACATGCACAACATGATTTTACCATAAAAAACAATAGGCATCCATCATAATTAAGAATCACCACTTCTTTCAAACACAACCAAAAACCCAAACCCCACACATGCATCATCTCAGTTCAGATTCTCAAATCGAATCAACCACAAAATAAAATCATGCAACCATGAATTTTAACATCAAACCACAAGCATTCAACAACAACAATTTAAACCACAAGTTTTCCTTACCTCTTGGTGACCTCGAATCTAAAAAGAGGAGAAGAGAAAAGTAGCTCCATATGACTTTCAACTTGAGATTCTAACCTCGAAAACTTGAATCCTTCAACTAGCTAAGTGAATCAGCTACAAGATGGCAAGGGAGATTTTTCAGAAGGAGAAGTTCTGAGTTCTAGAAAGTTTCTTTTTAATTTCTTTCTAGAGTTTTCTAAAACATGAAATTATGAGCTCACTTCTTAATAATAAAAAAAACTTTATATACCTTTCTTGAAATGACCCAATTTATCTTTGATCTAACTACCCTAGAAACCAACTTAACCTCCAAAGCCTCATAACTCCAAAGTTCTTAAATAACACTACTAACACTGACTAAAAGCTAGACAAAAATAATCTTGCAAATAAATTTAAATATCATATAATCAACAATGTTACAAAAATAAAATTCACTTGATAGTATTATTAATTTTTAAAATCACATTTAAATGGTCAATATTATTTATAAGTTTTTATTGATTGTATAATAATTAATTATTTTTTTATCTTAATTATTTATCTATAAGATTGTATAATATAGATCAATAATTATTATTTTTAAAAAATAAAATTTAGTTGATAATAATACATATAAAAAAGCAAGTATATTAAGTAGAAATTATTAATTTGAAGTTTCATGAAATTACACACATTGTACAATATTTTTTTTAATATTAATCATTTTAATTGTTTAAAACTATTATATTAATATTTGTAGAAATTATATTAATTCTTAATTGTTTGAAAATATTTAATGTGACCTCTATAAGAAATGTCAAATGTTAAATAGCATCTATAAGTTTGGTGTGATTTAAGTACTATATATATAATGGATTAAACTTGACTACTACTCTTGATGGAATTGAAGGCACGATGGTGGTGGTAGGTGGCACATTGAATTGTAAATCGAAATGAAAGTGAATGATGAAGCATAAGTGTTTACTTACTCACATCTTTAACAATTAACATCGCTTGCGTGAGACCCTCAACTTCCTTTAATTATTCCAAATCCAAATCTTACACACATAACATAACCCCATTTTAATATTTAACTTAACAAAATTGACCACCTTGGTTCTGGTCACTGCCATCGACATATATTTATATTTTCATTTCGTGTTCCTTGCTTTTCTCTCTCTGAATCTTCCCCGTTATTCTCTCTCTCGGAGCTTCTGTGAAAGGGAGAAAAATGGGGTTCTCCTCCTTTCTGGGTCGCGTCCTCTTTGCGTCCCTCTTCATCCTCTCAGCATGGCAGATGTAAGTGCCCCTTTTCACAGATCTATCAGATTCCTTTAAAGGACTTCACTTTTCGCTTTGATTTCCATTTTCTCATGTGGGTTTTTGTTTTCTTGATTTGGTTTTAAGGATTGAATGTAAAAGGTGTTTTTTTTTTTTTCGGGGGTCCGTTTTATGGAAGTCATACATGGATATGATTGGTTGGATTTTGCTTTAAAGTTTAATAAGCATCTGCTAATAAATGGATTTGTTATTGTTCTAGAGTGTAGGTGTAGGTGATATTGTTGTAGATTGTTTAGTGTTAATTATCTTCTGAGCAAAGTTTTAGAAAAATGGTTTGCGACCATGATTTCGGCCTCAATGTTAAATAGTGCCCACAACGGCTTTATTTGTCTGTAATTACCCATGATATCAAAGATCATGGGCCAGGTCATGACAGTCACTGCAATTTAAAACCTTGCTTTTGAGTATGCTGACATGTTGATTTTAAGTGGTTTTTAATACTAGTGAGAATCAATGATCTGTGAAATCTTGAGTTGCATCGTTTTTAATTTGCTTTTTCCTTTTAAGTTGCTTCCTTCAATTCATTGAGGATTTTGATGTTTGCAATTTGCACTATGTACTGACTTTGATACCAAATAAAGTATAGACCCTAAGCTTAGAGATCTAATTGTGGATCGCTTTTATTTTTGTGTTAACAAACTTCTGATTTAGGTTATAAATAAATCTAGAAATGAAAACGAGATTAAGTTCAATAACTTTGAAGCTGAATTCCAATATTCAATTACCAAACCCCAATAAGGGTCAAGCCATAGATATGATATTCACCTATGGCAAATCTTGAGGTTGATAAATTCTCTGTCTATCTCTGAATCTCAGATCCTATTCCTCTATGTCCCCAACACCAAACACTTTTTTAACTTGTTTCTTAGAATCTAATTTTATTTGATTTTGCAACTTCCCTAGAGGTATGTCACCGGGTTATGATATATTAAAATGTTTGACCTATGTGATATACCTTGTTTGAAATTTTTTTAGCAAACCAAATGTTAGGTACCCTAAGAAATTTTGGTTTGCTAATTTATGTACTGCTTTGTGTGACAGAATTGCTTATATGCGAAAAGTTAAACAATTATTGTAGAGAGTTTTAGGCTTTTAGTATTTTTCTATTGATAAAACATTTATACTGCAAGGTTTAATGAATTTGATGCCAATGGTGGACCCATCTCGAAGGAGTTGATTCCCAAGCTCACTGTCGTGAAGAAAAATTTGTCTTCCAAATTGGGGGTAGCTCTACCAGATATTGATGTACGACAATTTTTCTTTTATTTGCTAAATAGATTTCATTATTTACTTGTAGTTCCCTTTCTGATTGAGATCCTAAATGCAGGCCCGGCAATTCATTTCTGTTATCATATTTCTTAAGGGGGTCGGAGGGATTTTGTTTGTGTTTGGCAACACATTTGGATCTTTTCTACTGGTAAGGGCTTGGTCTCTTAGTTTTGTATTGTGAAGAAGTTGCTAATCTTAATCTTAAGTTTACATTGAAAGCTCTTGTCATTGCTGTGGTTCCAAAGAATTATAAATCCAGACTGGATTTTTCTCTTCTGTAGCTTCTGAATCTAAGGCTTTTGTTGTTGTTGTTGTTGTTGTTGTAGCTTTTGCATCTGGCGCTTACTACTCCACTTCTGTACGATTTCTATAACTATAGACCCGGCAAGCCTAAATATAATCAGCTGCTGAATGAGTTCATGCTGGTTTGTCTAAACTTCATTTACTTGATGTCTTGCTAATTGATGGTTTCGTTTGTGTGAGAACTTGATATATGGGTATATTGTGGTTCCTTTTGATGGCAGAACGCAGCACTTTTTGGGGCATTGCTATTCTTTATTGGAATGAAGAACTCAATTCCCAGGAGTCAGCTCAGGAAGAAGAACCCTAAAGCAAAGACAGTTTAGAAAAATAGAGCAAAACATGTATTAGTGTGCCAAAATGCTTAGTTCGGCATCCAACATTTGATCTTCAGCTGAGTTTGGAATAGTTTACTTTTAGACATATTAAGATTATTTTGTTTATTTGTGAGATGGATTATAATTTGATTTTGATATGCTTCCCTTTTCACTTGCAATTCTATTCTACTTGGTGCAAAGAAGTTAAGCTAAGTTGTGGTTAGATTTTATGACCAATACTTGAGAGAAATAGACTTCCCTGTTGGATGCAGATTGAATTGCGCACTAATACCACTTCAAATTGTTTGATTTTAGTCTAATTCAGGACAATATTCAAGCATGATGTCAAAAAGATAAAATTGAACAAATAATGCCTTGCAGAAAATTGATTTTGGGTATCAGGGCATCACAGTTTAGGCCTAAGTTTCTGTGAGCAAAATTTTCTTCAAATTTGACTTTGAAATAAGAGTGTTTGGTACGGGAAGTTTAGTTTTTTAAGAATATAAAGTTTTTTTTTTTTAAGAATATAAAGTTGGGAATGATAGTTTATTGTCTTAGGTTTATTATCTTAAAAATAATATTTTTTAAAAATAGTCTTATGGAAATGGTTTTTTTTTATATAGTTTCCTTGAATATCATTCCAATGAGAGGTGAGAAACAACTTTTCGAGTTAAAAAGAAGGGTTTTATTGTAGTAAAAGTATTACATTATTTTATCCCACTAATTTAATATGATAAAAAATTTAATTTTTAAATAACGTATATTAATATTTTCAAAGGTATTTATAACGAATTAAATGCATTTTAGCTATTTTTAGGATTATGATTCTCGATATTCAAGATTTTTGAAAATGGAAAGAACATTCTTGGGTATCAAACGCACATTGTGTTTAATCAATGACAACTAAAATGCCAAATGTTATCTTAACTAAATTTAGTGTGGGATTAAAATTCATGTTTCTTCGTAAGAAACAAATTGAATCCCTAGTGAAGTCAGAAGTGGTTTTGGATCATAATGTTAGGTGTCATGTTGATGCAGACAAGTGGTGGTATCAACATGGATGAGTCACCCAATAGTCCTTCATATGGAGCCACCACATTAATTATTTCGACTCATGATGTCACCTACCAAGTATTCGGTCATGAATGAATCAAGATTGTTCGTTTACTCATACTCACTATGCTCTAAGAGAAGAAAAGAAAATAATGATACACACTAATTGCTCTAACTGTAAAAAATATCTTGACAAAAGTTACCAATTGTTGCCAACAATCTAATTAGGTACAATGGTTTATTGTTCCATGGATTCCCCTCTCCTAAAATGACCAAGTAAAGACGCAATGCAGTACACCGTAATCAAAATTATGAACATATATTTACACAAGTTAGCAATTGTTGCCCCCAATATAACTAGGTGCAACTTGTTGGTCACACGATTCCCCTACCCTTGCGTGACCAAGTAAAGATGCAACAAGCCTTAATCAATATGCAAAGATTTTTTTTTATCAACAAATATAATATTAATTGTTAGTCGTAAATAAGAGTGATTCAAACTCATTAATAAACATAAACATTAAAACAGAGCACGATAAGAGAAAAATGAGAATAGCAATCAATCTCATTCTGCTACATTTTATTGATAATGATACGTATATATACAAAGAGAATGAGAAGAGAAAGAGGTTACAAAAAGGGGATGACGGATGGAAAATGAAAATCAGAAAAGATATGCAAAGATTCTAACAGAAAGATATGGTAATAACAAAAGGAATAAAAAAAGGTGCAACAAACACGTGGAAAGTGTATCCGTAGCTGCAGAGGGAAGAACGAATCAAGGAGCTTTGGGCTGGGACTCTTGGGCTGAAACATTTTTGGGCTGATGATCAAGTTGAGAGCCCCCCTCAAGCTGGGAATGGATATTGCACATTCCTAGCTTGCCATAAGATTCTCTAAAAACATGGGGGTGAAGAGCTTTTGTCAGTATATCTGCAAGCTGCATTGAGGAATGTATGGGAAGAAGCTTAAGAACACCACGGTTAACTTTCTCCCGAACAACATGGCAGTCTATCTCAATATGCTTCGTTCTTTCATGAAAAACTTGATTAGAAGCGATTTGAATAGCCAAATCATTATCACAGAAAAGCAGAGCAGGTTTTTCATATGGAACCCGAAAATCATCAAGAAGGAATGTAAGCCATTGTATCTCACATGTGGTTGAAGCAAGTACCCGATACTCAGCTTTTGAAGAGCTTCGAGAAACAGTGGCCTGTTTCTTAGATTTCCAAGAAATTAATGAATCACCAAGATAAACTGAAAAACCAGTAACTGAACGACGTGTTTCAACACAACCTGCCCAATCTGAATCGCTGAAACCTTTCAACTGTAAAGAACTTGAAGAAGAGAGAAATATACCAGCTCCTAAAGATTTCTTCAAGTATCTAAGCACACGAAAAACATCTCTAAAATGAATGTCAGTAGGGGAAGAAACAAACTGACTCAAGTTCTGAACCGCAAAGGCAATATCTGGACGTGTTGACGTGAGATAAATGAGTTTTCCAATCAGTCTTCTATATGGTGAAGGGTCAGCAAGAGCAGTTCCAGTTTTAGAAGTTAATTTAGTTGTGTAATCTGTGGGGGTTGAGACAGGAGCACAAGCCAGCATGCCAACATCCGATAACACATCAAGAGTATACTTCCTTTGAGAAAGGTGAATACCATCAGCAGAACGGGCTACCTCAAGGTCGAGAAAGTATTTAAGATCTCCAAGGATTTTAACTTTAAACACTTGATCAAGTTGGAATGTGACATGAGTAATTTATGACAAGTCATTCCCATAGAGCACAATGTCATCAACATAAATTAATAATGTTGTAATGTTGGGACCAGAGAACTTCAAAAACAAAGAGTGGTCAGCTTGAGAGTGATGATAACCATGAAGAAGGAGGAAACTAGATAATTTTGCATACCATTGTCTACTGGCTTGCTTAAGCCCATACAAAGATCTCTTTAAAAGACAAACCTGCCCAGGTTGAGCTGTAAGCCCTGGAGGAACATGCATGTAGACTTCCTCATGAAGCTCTCCATGCAAGAACGCATTGTTGACGTCAAGTTGCTTCAAATACCAATTGTTTATAGAAGCCAAAGCTAACAGCATACGAAATGTAGTTATCTTGGCTACAGGAGAAAAGGTATCTAGAAAATCAAGATCCTCAAGCTGATTATATCCTTTTGAAACGAGACGGGCTTTGTATCTCTCAATGGTGCCATCAGCATTGTGCTTAACTTTATATACCCATCTACATCCAATGGGTACCTTGTCGGGTGGCAAATTAGTCAAGGTCCAGGTATTATTCATCTTAAGGGCAGCAAGCTCATCCTTCATTGCCTTAACCCAACACTCTAGCTTAGAAGCCTCAGAATAGGAATGTGGTTCAATGGTCACAGATATGGAACAAACAAAATGGTGAAAAGAGTTAGATAAACGATTATAAGAAAGAAAAGAATGAAGAGGATACCTGACAGTTGAAGAGGTTGGTATAGTTGAAGCAATGTTACAATGAAAGTCCTTGAGATAGGAAGGAGGTAAGTGAGTTCTGGAAGATCGTCTGATCTGTGTGGGTGGAGGATAAATTATAGGAGAAGACTGATCAGAAGAGCTAAGTTGATTATTTGACTCTGAAAAGCTTGGTTGAGAAAGAGTCAATTCATTACTATTTAGATATTCAGGCTCAATTTGGTCAGAGGAATGTAATTCAGGCTGAGGTTGATTAGAAGTATGATGTGGTGCATTTATGGATGAAAACAAAAGTTGTTCTGCTGCAGGGGTGAAAGTAACAGGTCGGTCATGTGCAACAGTGGCTTTGGAAGTAGGCTGAAAGTTGTAGTTAGTGGATAAAAAGGTGTTGTCGGTTTGGGCATTAGATAAAGGTGTGTCGGTTTGAGTATTGAAACATTTGATGTATGGAAAATGATTTTCATAAAATATAACATTCCTACTTACATCAAGAGAATGAGTTTTTAGATTATATAAGAGGTACCCTTTTGTGTAATTTTTAAAACCAAGAAATATACAAGGGTCAGCTCGGGCATCCAATTTCTTACGATTAGCAACAAGAGTACTTTCATAACACAAGCATCCAAAAACTCTAAAAAGAGAAATATCATATTGTTTATTATATAACTTGATAAAAGGGGAAGTTTCATGCAGAATAGGGGTAGGAATACAATTAATAATAGTGGCTGCATGTTGAATAGCAAAACACCAAAATAAAGGAGGAAGACCATTGTGAAAAAGAAGGGCACGAGTGACATTGAGAAGATGTTGATGCTTTCTCTCCACAATACCATTCTGCTCTGGTGTTTCAATGCAGCTAGTTTGATGAATAATTCCTTTTTCTTGGTAGAAATTATTCATTAAAAACTCAGCTCCATTATCACTCCTTATAATTTTGACCTTGGTATCAAATTGCCTTTCAACAAGAGAAATGAAATTGATTATGTGTTTCCTTGTTTCAGACTTGCTATTCATTAAATAAACCCAAGTGTAACGTGTGAAATCATCCACAATAGTTAAGAAATATCGATGCCCGTGCATGGAAATCACAGAACAGGGACCCCAAATATCAACATGAATAATTTCAAAAGCTCTTGATGTTTTAGAAATGCTTAAAGAAAAAAGGAGTTTTCTTTGCTTAGAATAATGACAAGTGCTGCAACTGAAATTTTTATTGATGGTGATGTAAGGGTATTGTTTCATCATGGATTCTAAGCGTTTACATGAGGGATGTCCTAGTCGAAAATGCCATAAATCTATAGGGACGACAATAGAAACAGGATGTATAACAGAAGAACAAGTAGGTGACATAGTGACAGGTCTGGCTTCCAAGGTATACAATCCATTGCAGACGTCAACTATACCAATCCTTTTCAAAGTGTTTAGATACTGTATGACACATGAGTCAGGGAGAAAAGTTAGTTTACAACGAAGAGTAGATACAAGCTTCGAAATAGAAATCAAATTGAAACTAAAATCTGGTATATACAAGACATTGGAAAGAATAAATTGATCACTAAACTTCACTACACCCGAATGAGTAGCATGAACATGTTGGCCATTAGGTAGTTTAACAGTGATGGGTTTAATAACATAATCTGTAAAATAATATGAGAGTGATGAATT